TAATAAAGGTCTTCTTTGGCACACAGTCAGTCTTCAAAGACTAGGAAAAGTGGTTGTTTCTTTCAAATACACAAATTTCAACAACAAACATTCACATAGAACAAGAAAATGTAGCCATTCAAAGGAATAAAATAAATCGATATAAACTATTCCTGAGGAAGCTCACACATAAGACCCATTAAAGACCTTAAAATAATTGTCTTAAATAAACACAAGAACTAAAGGAAATCAAGAAAACAATATATGAACAAAATCAGAATATCAACAAAGTATAAAAATGATGAAAAGGAACAAAACTAATTCTGGAGCTGAAAAATGAAAAAACTGAAATGATAAAATTACTAGAGGGGTTCAATAGCATATTTGAGCAAGGAGAAAAAAAGAATCCAAGAATTTGAAGATAGGAACACTGAAATTATTGATTCTAGGAGCAGGGGCAAAAAGGAAAAAGCATGAAGAAAAGTGAACTGAGCTTAAGAGATCCATAGGATACCATCAAGTAGACCAATACATGTATTATTAGTTCCAGAAGGAGGAAAGAGAGAAGAGGGCAGAAAGATCATTTGAGAAAATAAGGGTCAAAAACTTCCCAAATTGGATGAAGCACATGAATCTGCAAATGCAAGAAGCTCAAGAAATGCCAAGTAGAATAAACTCAAAGACATGCACACCAAGACACATAAAGTGTTGAAAGACCAAAAAAATGAATTTTGAAAGGAGCAAGAGAAAAGGGACTTGACAAGTACAAGATATGCTCCATAAGACTGACAGTTGATTTAACAGAAGAAAACTTGGATGCCTGAAGGCATTGGGATGATATACAGTTGACCTATAAACAACAGGGAGGTTAGGTGCACGGACCCCCATGAAGTCAAAAATCTGTGTATAACTTTAGACTCTCCCAAAACTTGAGTACTAATAACCTACTGTTGACTGGAGTCCTTACTGATAACATAAACAGTTGGCTAAGACATAATTTGTATGGTCTCTATATTATAGACTGTATTCTCACAATAAAGTAAAATAGAGAAAAGAAAATGTCTTTAAGAAAATCATAAGGAAGAGGGGGAAAAAATACACAAATAAGTGGGCCCATGCAGGTCAAATATATTGTTCAAGGGTCAACACTATTTAAATTATTTAAAGAAAAAACTGTCAACCAAGAATTCTATATCCAGAAAAAACGGTCCTTCAAAAATCAGGGAGAATTAAGACATTCCTAAATAAACAGAATCTGAGGGGGTTCGTTGCCATTAGATATTCCCTGCAAGAAATGCTAATAAGAGTCTTTCAGGTTGAAATAAAAGGACAGTAGACAGTAACTTGATGTTAGGTAAAAATAGAAAGATCTCAGGGAGAGGTAAATATATGGGCAAACATAAAAGACAGTGTTATTTTATTTTTTCTTTGAAACTCCACTTTAAAAAAAATTAGATTTAAAAGTAATTATAACCTTTTGCCAGTGTACAGATATATAAAGACATAATTTGTGACATCAGTTACATAAAATAGAAGAGTGTAGCTCTATAGGAATAGAGTTTCTACATGTGATTGAGATTAACTGGTATCAGTTCAAATTAGATTGTAATAATTTCAGGATGTTTTATGTGGTGCTCATGATACCAACAAAATATACCTACATAATATACACAGAAAGAAGTAAGAGGGGAATAAATACAAATTCTTCCAGAACATTAAAGTGGAGGGAACACTTCTAAATCATTTTGTGAGGCTAACATTATCCTGATACCGAAACCAGACAAAGACAGTACAAGAAAGGAAAACTAAAGACCAATATTCTTTATGAATATTGATGTAAAATGCTAACAAACTGCATTCAGAAGCATATTAACAGGATTGCACAACATGACCAAGTAAGATTTGTTCCTAGAATGTAAGAATGATTCAACATATGAACATCAACCAATATAATACACCACATTGACAGAATGAAGGAAAAAATCCACGATTATCTCACTGGAGGCAGAAAAAGCATTTGACAAAATTCAACAAGTTTATTATATGTAATATAATATATACAATATAGTAATTCATGACCTTTTTAAAGATTTTATTTACTTATTTTTGTAAGAGAGAGAGAATGTGCATACGTGGGCAGGGAGGGGCAGAAGGAGAAGCAGACTCCCTGCTGTGGGAGCCCAAAGTGGGAAAGTGGGACTTGATCCCAGGACCCTGGGATCATGACCCAAGTTATAGGCAGAACTTTAACTGACTGAGCCACCCAGGTGCCCAGTTTTTTTGTTTGTTTGTTTGTTTTTTAAGATTTACTTGAGAGAGAGAGAGAGAAAGCAAGCAGGTGGTGGGCAGGAGCAGAGGGAGAGAGAATCCGAACAGACTCCACATTGAGCATGGAACCCAGTGCTGAGCTTGATCTCATGACCCTGAGATCATGACCTGAGCTGAAACCAAGAGTCAGATGCTTAACTGACTGTGCCACCCAGGCGCCAACAGCTTTCTTGATAAAAAATCAAAACCAAAACCAAAACACTCAACAAACCAGGAAGAGAAGGAAATGTCTTCAATATGATAACGGCCATGTGTGGAATACCCGTAGCTAACATCATACTCAATGGTGAAAGACTCAAAAAAATTTTCCTAGAGATCAAGAGTAAGACAAATGATTAGTTTCTCAGAGCTGCCATGGCACAGATTGGGGGGCTTAAGCAATAAAAACTTATTTCCTCACCATGAGGAGTGATTACTTAATGGTTACAGATTTTATGTTGGGGTAATAAATGTTCTGGAAATACATAGGGTAATAAATGTTCAACATTGTGAATGTAATCAGTGCCACTGTATTGTACTCTTAAAAAGAGTTAGAACGGGGGAAACCTGGGTGGCTCAGTTGGTTAAGCGTCTGCCTTCAGCTCAGGTCATGATCCAGGGATCCTGGGATCGAGTCCCATGTCAGGCTCCTTGCTCAACGGGGAGTCTGCTTGTGCTCTCTCTCTCTCTCTGACAAATAAATAAAATCTTTAAAAAGGGTTAAAAGGATAAATTTTATGTATATTTTAGCACATACACACACCATAGACATCCAAGGAACTGGTGGTCTCTAGAGCCCACTTTGGAAGCACTGACCTAATCTATTCTCCTTACTGCATAGACCACTTGATCAGCCTCTGTAGCCTATTTTGAAAATACTCCCCATTGGCTGTGCCTTCTTCACCCTAAGGCCTTTGTACAAGCTGTTCTCTCTGCAAGGAGAGCCAATTCTCTCCTGATTCATGACCCCTATGGCTAACTTTTGCTTAACCTTCAGATGTTATTTAAACATCAGTAAACCTTCCTTCAGTGAATCTTCTTCAATATCCTCTTACATCCACACATAGTCTCTGCAATACTTCCACCATGACAGTATATATTGGGCCATTTTTATTTGCCAGTTACTTGTGCTTATCCATCACTAGAGAGTTACCTTCATGGGGGAAGAACAACATGTGTGCTGTGAATTGCTGCATTTGGCACCTAGCACCGTGCCTGAGAAACAGCAGATGATCAGTTACCATTTAAAGAAGGAAGGAAATAAAGGAAGGAGGAGTGGACATTGACCTCCTGAAGACCACATCTCCACCTCCACTAATTGAATTGGTGTCTCCCTTGGGTTCCAGGGGCAGTATTTGCTCATCCCTCAAGAGCTTTCACTGCTATCTTTCTTCTGTTCTAGTTTTCTGTGCACGTATTTCACCCATTTGTTTCTGTGTCCCCCACAGTACTTTGAATATAGGAGACACTTAATAACTAAACAGTATCCACATTCAAAAACAATAGTCTTTTTGTTGTCCTTCATATGCAAAGAGTAGGAAAGGATTGCAAAGCCTCCCAAAATGCACCTGAGCCATCCTTTAGTTCTCAACTAAAAGATGTTGCTTTTATGCACGTTTCACTTCAAGTGACCGATTTGGAAACTGTCTTGGAATGTAAAACTATCAGAGTGTAGTTTCTTTCGTTGTTATTTTAAGAAATGCTTGCTTTCCTTCTATCACGTTTTGAATTATAGATCTTTAAATTATCAAACAGAAGTTCAGGAACTGTTGCTGTTGACAGGGGCGGGGGTGTGGGGGCAGGGGTAGAGAGAGCTGCAGAGCTGAATTTTCTAGCAATAACATTTCCCAAGAGTGAGGAGACCAGGAAGAGTGTCTATGAGATAAAGCCAGCCCTGGTTCCTGAGCCAACCACTCATTTTATCCAAGGGTTCTGCTAGACCTCCAGCCGAAAGCTGGGGGCTTGAGCAACTTCACTCCAAGGACACAAGGTCTTCTTTCTGGGAGTCCAGCTTATTGGTCTCAGCAACCAATTATTGACCTAATCAACTCACTGCCTCAGCCAGATGATGTATTTACTGACTCACTTCATCCACAGAATGGGAAGGCCCAGATAAGCTATGAAACAGGGGTGTTTCCCAGGTTCATTGCTGCTCTGTCATCCTCAGAGGGCTGACTATTCTGTCTGTCCTCATGGAGGTGAGCATTGAATGTAGAGCCCATGAGAGCTGCCCATTGCCCTCCCCCTCCACTCCTTTCATTCACAGATCTAATCTCTGGTTCTGTCTACAGGTCTACACATGGGAGGAAATAAGAATTCTTCTTCTTTGGAGGGAGAAATCAGGGCCCCAACAAAGGAATGAAACTTCTTAAGTTTGTTAGAAGTAAGGCCGCTCTGAACTGAAATCAGTAATGGTAATCCCAGTCCAGGACTCCACCAGTGAGAAATGTGTCAAGGAGCCCTTTCTAGGAAAGTTAGAGAGGTGCATGATGCTCAGACACAAACATGTAGAAATGCCATGAGTAATGGCCTCAAGTCAAATGAGGGTTAAGAAATTAGAAATATACCCTAAGCACAAATTATCTTAAATTCTCCAGGCCACAGTTCTTGTCCCTGAGAACTTCTCATTCCCTCTGTCTCTCTGTCTGGCTGTTCCTGACGGAAAGTCCCTGCCTCCCACCAACCAGGGAGAAGAGCCCTTATCACTTACTTACCCAGAGCACTGTGGGAGCTGTTGGGTGGTGGCTGCAGGAAGGTGAGAAATCTTGGCAGTTTTCTGGGCTGGACAAGGTGGGCAACAAGTTCCCTCCAGGGTGCCCCACAGTTTGGGCCCTTAAGGCAATCAGGGTCTGCCAGTGTTGAGAGTATGGGAGTTTTAAGGGAGGTTCCTGGAGTGCCAGGAGAGGAGGCAGCAGTTGGCCGTTGGGGAGGCAGTTGGAGAAAGTTCCAGGAAGTTCCAGGGAGGAGCTAAGATGCAGCATGGGTAAGAATAGGTAAAGAAGAATGGGTAGGTTTTCTGGCATTCCCTCTTCCAAGGATTCTAAGGTGAAAAGCAGAAATCACAGAGACGGTTCTCTTACCATTCTTCCTACCTTTCAAGATAGACTTTAAGACAGGGAGAAGAGGCACCAGGGATGCACAAAGAGAAGGCTGTGGAAGAATGAAGAGAGAAACCATTGAGACCAGAGTCCCAGAAAGAGATAAACAGCGTCGAGCAAAACTCACATCGACACCGAGAGGAGAGAGGTAGGATTGGGAAGCTTACCTGGGGTGAAGCAAGAGCCCCTTCTCCAACGAGTATGGCCTGGAGCCTGAGAAGAATGCAGAGAAGCAACATTTGTTCAAGCCCAGGATCTGCCAAGACTGGGGAGACTGTTTTCAGCAGCTGACGTTCTACCAAAATGGGCAGTTGAAGTTCCTGTAACAGGTGATTGGGCCCAGGGCAAGTCCCTGGTTTTCCGGACTTGGATTTCCTGCTGTTTTAAATGACCACATCTGGGATCACAACCTTGATTTCTTTCTGGAAAATTCATCCCAGGAAATTCAAGGAGTCAGTGGAAATCCAGACATCCCAGATAAATTAAGTCAGAATCTCTCAGGGTAAGGTCTAGAGATCAGTTTTTAAAATTTATTTTATTTATTTATTTATTTATTTATTTATTTAATTTATCTGTTTATAGTAGGCTCCATGCCCTGTGTGGAGCTCAGTGTGGAGCCTGAGCTCACAACCCTGAGATCAAGACCTGAGCTGAGATCAAGATTTAGATGCCCAATCGACTGAGCCACCCAGAAGCCCCGACATCAGTATTTTAAGCATGCTTCTCATGGGATTCCAATGACCAACCAGGCCTGAGAATCACTGTTTTAAACATATATTGGTGACAGGTATTTGCCAGATGCTGAAGGTACAAACATGAACAAGGTTTAGACCCTGCTTCCGATGAGCCCACAGCTGAGCAACGGGCATAGGGATCAAAACAAACTACCATGACAAAACTGCCCACAATGTGCAGAGGTCAGCGGTGTAAGCATCCCCGGAGCAAAGAGGAAACTGTTTTAATTGTGTGTTTTATTTTATTTTATTCATTTTATGATGGTTTGATGTCTTGAGGGCCTTGCTGGCTGGGAGAGAGCTCCCTGCCCTTCCAGGGCTAGCTGCTTCTTAGGAATCATGGGCAACTCACCTTAGAATGCTCCTTTCATATGCAAACCAACAACCTTGAGTCCATACCCCCCAACAACCTTTTTATCCAGCCATCATCCACCGAACCTGTACCCCCCTGCCCTACACCACCCAGAGCATGCTGACTTTATTCCAACTAGCCCATCCTTAGCTGTTTCCCTGCTTCACCCCTTCCTTTCCATGGAAAACACAATAAATGCTCTGGGATGGGCATTTCCCTCAACCCTCTGCATCCCTCTGCCTCCTGATTGACTTCAGTGCTTTCCTAGGAGGTATATGGTATGCCCATTTCTCTGGGAAACGTTAAGTAATAAATTCTTTCAATGACATTGACCTTTCTGTGTCATCACTCGGTCACCTGTGTAAAGTAAAATCCCACGGTGCAATGAAGACAGAAGCCATCTTATAGGAGTGATAACCAGGGAAGTCTTTGAAAGAGAAACAGGAGAAAGGCATCCCACAAGCAAAGGCACAGAGGTGTGGAAGGGCCCCAGTCGTTGGTAGACTAGAGCAGGATGGAATTGCTGGAGCTCTGAGCACAAGTGACCAAACGGGATGGGGTTGGGGAGAGCATGCAGGTGGGGAAAACAGGGCATGCTTGAGGGGGGGGTGGTTCTTTTGCTTAAAGAAGATGTGATTTTTACACTTATCTGCTCTCCAACAGGCCCCACAAACTAACCCATTTCTCAGTTTGCACTTCTGTGAGATTAACAAGGTCATGGTAGAGACCCTACACACTGGCATCAACATTTCTGGCCCAAAGAGCCTGTGGGAGGAGAGAACAGACTGCGGAGCAAGGCGAAGGGGGCTCCTCTTCCTGAGGCAGAGCATGGGCATTGGGTCTGAAGTGTGGACCTACCACCTTGGTCAAGCTTCTTACCCTCTCAGCCTTTTTCCTTAGAGTGGACGCAATAATACATGTGTCATGGTTGTCACACAGATGAGGGGGGAAGGGGAAGCACAGTTCTTGACTCTTAGTATACTTACTTCTAACTTTCCCCCCTTCAACCAGGAAACATTGTAAATCTGATGAGAACAAACAGAAACACGTTTCATCAAAACTGCAAGGTGGGGCGCCTGGGTGGCTCAGTGGGTTAAGCCGCTGCCTTCGGCTCAGGTCATGATCTCAGGGTCTTGGGATCGAGCCCTGCATCGGGCTCTCTGCTCAGCAGGGAGCCTGCTTCCTCCTCTCTCTCTGCCTGCCTCTCTGCCTACTTGTGATCTCTCTCTATCAGATAATAAATAAAATCTTAAAAAAAAAAAACAACTGCAAGGTGGCAGCTGGAGAGAGGCCAATCAGTAACATTTCAGTAAGAGTGTCTCTTCCAGACAATCCCCATAAAGCAGTCGTTCTAGGTCCACAGAGGGGCCACGAGATCTGTTGGCTTAGCCAGGGTCAACCTCCTTCATCTTGCTGTTCTAAACTGAGGCTTTTGAACTTTCTTGGTTCCACATCCCAGGAAAGCTTTAAGAAGAAGCTGCAGGGCAAACAGATGTTGTAATGTCACATGAGTTCAGATGTCCCCGCTCTCTCCTGCACCACTCAGCAGAAAGGCAGAACTGGACATGGATGGCTTTTTCCCCTCTGTCTGCAGCCTCGGATGCCTTGGGTCACCGCGCCCATTCCGATGACATGGACTGAGCGCTGACTGTGTACCAAGCCGCATATGAGCTTATAACCAGTACCATCTCATTTAATCCTCCCCGTAGCCCTACGAGGTGGGCTCTATTATTCCCACTCTACAGCTGGAGCTTGGTGTCACGTCTTAAGTGGAAGAGCCGGATCCCAGCCCAAACCCGTCTGATTACAAATTCCGCGTTTTACTATCCTCACTAGGATGTCCTGGGCCATTTACATCTCCCAATGTCAGTCCAAAGGCTTGTTGATGCAAATGTCCCCATACGGCAACAAGCTCTTCTCTCTTCTCAGTTCACCCAAAGTGTAGTGGTCACAGGACATTTTGGACCCTCCGTCTTTGACGCTTTGCTCCATGTGTCATCCCATTCACTAAGCCATTCAGTGGATAGACCTTCACTGGGGTCCTGAGGTTAGATCATCTTTGCCTCTCTACCGACCTGCAGTTAGGGGAGATAAAGGGGTTTACAGTGGGTTTGGAGATGATTTTATTAGGTCCCTGTGGGACATCCACTGGGCCCAACCATGTACAAAAAAGTGTTTTGTTTGAGCTCTGGGGATTTCTGCTAGGAGAGATACAACACAATGTTGGCCCCCACAATTTAGTGGGAAAAATAGGTATTTACTTAACCAACAGTGAAACCAGCCAGTGATAAGAGCTATAAGAAAATAGTCCAAATAGTAAGGACACTGAGAGGAAATAAGACCAGGACTGAGGAAGAGTGCACAGTGGAGAGGGTAATTCAATGAATCTCCAGGGCTGCTTACTTAGCTCATCCTTTTTTTCTTTGAGGGGGTCTGGAATTCATGCCTCATGTCCTTCTAGCCTGCCTGAGCCCCAGCCGCTGACATCTGATCGTTTCCCTGTAGAGTCTCGTCAGATCAGACTCCCTACAGGCCTCATACCTGCCCCTGGCTCAGCACTCATGGCTGGGGCCTCCAAGGCGTCTCTCCAGCAAGCCTTGCACCCATCCATCACTTCCGAGCGGCCGCTTGGTTGGAGGGCTGAACGCTGTAGCCCAGCCCTGCGGAGGAGTGAAGGAAGCCAAGTCGTTAAACCCCAAACCACTGACTGCAAGTGAGTCCAGGGAACTGCCAGAAGCCTGGCCTGCATTTCAGTGTTCGCAGACATCAGCCAAGGAATAAGGAGCAGGCCTGGGATAAGGCCAGGCTCTAGCTCTTCGCTGGGAATGTCATTTGAGACCTCAGGGGGAAGAAATCAGGGTGGTCCTCCTGGGCCTTCTTACCTTCCTCTTCTCCTGGGTCTTGTCCAGGTTGCTTATCTGGGGAGGGGGCTTTGTAAGGAAAAGATCAAGGTGGATCTTTTGGGAACTCATGTGACCTGCCCCATTTCATAGGTGGCATCTCTGTGTGTGATTATTTCCCAAAGCAAGCCCACATGGATTCAGGTAGAAGGGTTAGGGGAAGACTTGTCCTCCGTGGCTCCACAGGAGAAATGGATCAGGCCAGCCAGATGCAGGTTTCTAGCCTATGGTCCACAGGGATGGGATGACCAGGCCCCTACTAGGCCACCAGAAAACCACAGGGACCTATCAGCAAAATGCTTAGACAGGACCCACAATGCCCTATCAGGGCCACTGTAAGAGGGATTCCATTCTCAACACAAGGATGGATTTGGATCAGTGGGTTTTAACTTGTGTTTTTTTAGAGGTCTTCAGGAAATTTGGGGAATTGGAGGGGTGGTAGGGAGCTCCAACCAGGAGTATTGATCTATTTTCTACATTAGGACTCTGCTTAGGGTATATATCTGTATCTATCTATCAATAGATGGATATCAATAGATATCAGTAGATAGATAGATAGATATTTTCTATTTCTAATATATATATAGATACAGATATATATTTTCTACATTAAGACTCTGCTTAAGATAGAGAGAAGATAGCTAGATGATAGGTAGATAGATAGATGATAGATAGATAGATAGATAGATAGATATCATAAGAACATATGAATGTATCTTTACCTATAGATCTAAAGATACATAGATATTCTATCATACTGTATATTTCATGGAGATCTCATGGAGGGTCTATGGGGTAAACTCCACCTTTGGAGTTAGGTGATTAGTTTCAAGTAGATCAAAGAGACTTATTTCTTTATTTATTGCATTTTAGCACTGAGGGCCATCCTTTGTAGGC